ACTGACAGGAAAACAAGCAACATGTTTTTTGGGGGATGCATAGCTAGACTGACAGAGCCAAGAAAAAAATAAACTAAAATACTACATTGGCCATAATCATTTTTATGCCTTTTTAAAAAGTTTTTGTTCTAAAATATTCATTTTGTTGCCAACATTACCATGGACTTAGCAACTATATAAAGTTCCTAATATTTGTTCTTCATAAAACAAAGGACTATTTTAAATGAATTTTCAAGCTAATTCTTACTCATTTACCTTCCTTCATGTGTATTGATATTACTACATTCTTTGATGATACTCTTTATTGGAGAAACTATTATGTGGCAAAAGATAGAATGCTTCATTTTATTCATTTATTTTATGAAAAACATGCTCTAAGAACTGTAGCTTTTTAAAAAAGAATTTTTTATTTTTGAATAAACACAGACAAACAAAACACAAAAACACCACAAAACCATCTTCCATTACAAATTGTAGAAAGTGTGTCAATTGGTTACAAAAAATCTTTCGTGCATCCCTTCCACAGTCATCATATAATAATTCATATTATAGGACTGTAGCTTTTAATGGAGGAATGGAACTTTTTATATTCTTGGTTTAACAATTATCTTTTAGAACTTGGGACTTGGAGTTCAAATATTAAATATCCAGAGTTATTTTCTATTTTGAATTCTTCTATGGATAGAAAATAGTGTTCATACAGCATAATATTTTATTCTCTAAATATATAAAATCTGCAAAATTATATTTTTTCCAAATATAATTTTATTTAAAAAAATTAATTAGAATAGTAAAAACTAATACAAACTGAATTTAGAGAAAGAAAACTGTATGGAAACACAGAATAAAAAGTACAAGAAAAGAGAAAAATATATAAAGAAGTGACTTCCAACCCTTATATCAATACATATAAACAGATTTAATAACTCTTCACTTTCATAAGGTTAAACAAATATCTCTTCATCTCAAACCTTATCTATAAGACCATAAAATATCTTTTCAATCTTGATGTCAGAAAATCCCCATGAAGGGCTACCTGAACATTACAACAGATTGGGTTATTTTAACCTTGATCAAAAAGACCAACTTTATATTACTTGCTTTTACTACTAACAGTCTTAGTGTTGTGACCTGTCAGCCACTGGCCCCTCCAGCAGTCAAATCAGATGAGGAGGTGGAGTGGGAATCGAGGCCAGCATCCAGGCAATCTGAGAGCTCCGATGGAGAAGAGGGACTGGAGCTGTCAGAGATAAAAACAGAGGTAGAGCCTGGGCCGTCCATTAGCCCCCATAAGCAGAGTCAACAGCCCCCAGTCCCAGAGGTGGCTGATGACAAAGAGAACAGCTAGATCCCATGCCTGATGCATAGATGCACAGAAGGCAGAGGAGAGCAGCAGGAAGCTATGGGCTGGTTCTTGGGATGGAAGAGCTACTGCTGCTAGCTAAGCCCCACCCTAGCTCTAGGGATAAAAGGCAGGAGGCAGAAATGAATAGGTGTGCAATAGGTGTGGAGTAATTCTCCACTCTTCTCCTTATCCAGAGATAATCCTATATTACAAAACATAACGTTGTAAATAAAGAAATAAATAAGATTTTTTTCTGATTATGAAAAATCATAATGCTGAATATAGTGTGAGTTGTTGCAATTCTTCATTCTTTGTATTGCTACATTCTATCAAAATATTTCTTTAGTACTATCATAGAATCATAAGGCTGAAAGAGACCATGGAGATCTTCTAGTCCAACACTCTACCCATAGCAGGAGTCCTTATACCATCCTGAACAAATGATTATCCAACCTTTTTTTGAAAACCTCCAGCAATAGAGCATCCACAACTCCATTCTCAGGGAGGGAGGGAGGGATCTGGAAACTTGAGGTGACAGTGACAAGATGACAAAAAAAATTAAAAGTAATCCCAATTTGAATAAATGCTGAACAATGAATACAAAGATAATCCAAGTGGAAATAGCAAATTAAGATATAACAATGCTTAGGTATGGTTCATTAATTTAATGTTTTAACATAACATCCAAGTAGCAAACACATTTTAGAAAGCTATTTTTTAAGCTTAACAAAAATAGAATTTTGCTGGGGCTTGTTGGATTTCTATGTTGTTTTCAAATTGCAATGATCTTGTCAGTTTAAAGGCAAGTCATGTTCCCACATGAAATATTAATGTTCTCATTTTACATTGGTGGGCAAGTTTTATTCCAACAAGCTACAACATGCTGTCCTTGTTCTGCAAGAGAAATGCTTTTTTTAAGATCAAGATTTGAAAGCAAAAGAAAAATGCTTACGGTGGTTTCTGTATTCATAGGACATCCTAAAGCTACCTGACAACAGAAACTAGTTTCATTAACTTTTCAGTGTCACCAAAATCTCTGCTGAATGCACTGAAAAAATCTTCATTCAGAACAGATGATCTTACTAACAACTTCCTAATTGCTACAGCATAGCAGTTGTACATAATCATTTCCTTATAACCTAAAAAGGCAGGAGAAAATGACAAAGTAATTATTTCAGTTTTTAATCCCAGTTTATCCTAATCATTGTAGTTCATTCCTAAGAATTATATAATTTGAAAAAGTTAAATCTTTAAGAAGAGAAGCAGGGAGAGAAATGACTTAGCAAATAAAATCTGTCTTGTTAACTATAGAGGTCTTTGATATCCAAATACAATTTCCAACTCATGCCAATATGAATACTCTCATGCTTAATATTGCACAAGATCGGAAGATACGGAGAGATCTGGCCCACGTTACACTTTATGTTATTTTTCTACAAATGTTCAATTAGTAATTTAAACAAACATGTGAATTTGGGTAAAAGTGTCACACACAGAGCTCTCCCCTAAAACTATGTGCCTCATTTCTCTCTCTATGTGTGTAGTACAACTTTATGCAAAGAAGAAACTTTATATGACTGTGCCGGTATAAAATAATCAGGCTCAATTATTTATTTATTTTATAATATTTATAATATTTATGTCCTGCCCATGAAGCCATAGTTGCCATGGAATTTCACAAGCTATGATAGAATCATCACTCAGAATATGGAAAACGAAGTTACCCAACACCCAAAGCCCTAGAAATCCCAGTATTCACTGCAAGATTGTCAGCATCACAAGGTAGACCAGATGGGTTATTTTACCTTTATTGTTTTTTTCATTTTTTTTTCCATTTTATTAGGATTTATAGGCCGCCCTTTTCCCTGAGGGGACTCAGGGCGGCTTACAATCATAGGGAAGCGAGCAAGGGGGGTGGAGAAACCGCCGGGAAACGTCGCCGCCGCCACCGAGCTGAGGCCCGTCTCCTTACCGCCAAACAGCTGAAACAGTCGGGGCAGTCGGAGCAGTCCGGGGGCCACCGGAACCGCCAGGATCCATGTGATCTGCAGTCGCCCGGACTGTACAGTCTGGGGGTGGTCCTGGGGACGGTCCCGCAGTCGTAAAATGTTCTCACTATAGTCCGACAGGGTGGGGAGGCAAAATAGACAATGGAGCGGCCAGAAAGCACCATCGCTGTTACTCGGCTGAAGTTCTTCCCCTTGCTGCCGGGCGGCTAAACCAGCATGGAAGCCGCTGGAGCCGCCAAGATCTTTGCGGTCCAGGGCCGCCCTCAAAGTGGCAGCCCCTGCCGCTGGCTGGTCTTTTCGGGACCCCTGGTTCTCAAGCATCCCGGGCCAACTTCCCATATTATTTTCAGCGTCGCTGCTCGAGGTTTTTTTCGGCATTTTCATCGAGATGACTCAGGGTGAAAGGAGCCTTGCAGCCATCTTGAACTCGCACAAGCTATGTTAAAAGAATCTTATAAATGTGAAAGTACAATTGTCCCCTCCACCCCACTCTCCGCCCTTCATCTCCATTACAGCCTGAGAAAATAGGAAGGTTTCTTCCTAACTTCTTGTTCTGCCCATTATCCAGCTGTGGACTATGCTGTCTCTAAGCTGTTCAGCTTCTCTTAGCACATTCTATCAAGGCCTTTCCCACAAACCATTACAAAAATTGAGTAATTAACGGATAATTTTTGCTGGGCAGCTAGAATACATCAGCAGAAGCCCAATTTATCAAGATGCCAAAATGCATCTTCACAGATGCTTTTATAATTGATCACATTGCGGCACAATGATGAAGCACCTGAAACCAGACGGGTTTCAGGTGCTTCATCAGCCGAGAGCCCAGGGAAGGGGTGGCGGTGTGGCTATTGTNCTTCCGCTTCAGACCTATTCGCCCCAACCGCTAGTTACGAATTTTGCGCGGTTTGGAGATCTGGGAAATAGGAACACCAGCTGGCCCCGCCCATTTTCTAGGCCGTTTTCAGGCGGTATTGTCAGCCAAAATAGGCCAGAAAACCACCCAGAAAAATGGGCTGGAAACAGCCCAAAAACCGCCCCAAAACAGGCTGTTTTTTTGGGCCATTTTCAGGCCATTTTTGGGGTAAAAAATACCCACAAAACAGGCCTTTTTGGGGTGGTTCTCAGGCTGTTTTTCAGGCCAAAATCAGCCCCAAAATGGCCTGAATATAGCCAAAAACAATGCCTGAAAACAGCCCAAAACACCCCCCAAAATAGACTGTTTTGGGGGCCATTTTCAGGCTGTTTTTTGGGTGAAAAACACCCACAAAATAGGCCATTTTTGAGTGGTTTTCAGGGCCCTTTTCGGCCAAAATCAGCCCGCAAAACAGCCTGAAAATAATCCTTGGTGCTCTCTGAGATGGGTGGTTTTCTTGCAGATGTTTCATTACCCAACTAGGTAACATCATCAGTGCTAGAAGGGGGGTGAGATTGTGGAGAGGAAGAGAAGGAGAAAAGGAGGAGGTGGTGGAGGAGGAGGAGAGGAGGATGATAATGACTGTGGGGGGTCCTTGGTGCTCTCTGAGCTTGGCTGTATTCCTGCAGACATTTCATTACCCAACTAGGTAACATCATCAATGCTAGATGGAGTGAGGTTTTACTCTCTGGGAGCGCATGCGTAATACAGGGGATGCTGGGGGAATGAAGAGATGCTCCCTGGGAAGTGCAACCAGGCCCGGCCCAAGAAAGCTGAGGACGATTGGAAAGACAAAATAGAGCAAAGTATGTTTCTCAACCTTGGCAACTTTTAAGGTGCCCGGACTTCAACTCCCAGAATTCCCCATGGTTGAGAATACCCTGGAATACAGTCTCCTGGGAGAGGACCGTGAGACAGGCTCTCTTACCTTGACACATGCACTTGGGTTTGAGGATGTAGCCACAATTCCCGTTGGCGCTGAACTTGGCGCGGTTGAGCTGCAGCATCCTGCCTTCGGATTGGTAGTTCAGCGCCACTGCGACGGACGGAGAAAAATGGGAAATATAGGGGAGCCGAGCAGAGTAAGCCTGCAATACTGCGTTCTAACCACCGAGCCATGGTGGCGCTGTGGTCAGAATGCAGGGTGGCAGCCTGACTCTGCTCCAGGCCAGGAGTTCGATCTAGGCTGGCTCAAGGTCGACTCAGCCTTCCGTCCTTCCGAGGTCAGTAAAATGAGGACCCAGATTGTTGAGGGTGATAGGCTGACTCTGTAAACCACTTAGAGAGGGCTGTAAAACACTGTGAAGCGGTATATAAGTCTAAGGGCTATTGCTATTGCTAAATAACTGAGAAATGAAACTAGAAATGGCAAATTCCGATCCAGACATTTTGGAAAACATCCATCCATCCATCCATCCATCCATCCATCCATCCATCCATCCATCCATCCATCCACCTACCTATCTGCCCATCTTGTCTATGCACAATATCTATAATCTCTCTCTTCTATCTACAATAGCTATTCATATCTCTATCTATCTATCTATCTATCTATCTATCTATCTATCTATCTATCTATCTATCTATCTATCTATCTATCTATCTATTACCTACCTACCTACCTACCTACCTATACACCCACCTTCTGTCTACGTACAATAGCTATCACTTCGCTCTCTCTTCTCTCTACAATAGCTATCTATCATCTCTCTCTCTTTCTCTCTTTTCTCTCTCTCTCCCCATTCATCCATCCACCCTGTCTACGTACAATA